ACCAAGCTGCCCCCCATGGTACCCCCTCAAGTAATTGCCCTGCCACTGGAGCCCTGACCAAGCAGAGGACTCCTGTAGGACCTGCATCTTCTAACTCGGGGTTTCAGCCTTGGGACTACTGACATTTTGGACCAAATACTTTGTTGTGAGGACTGTCCTGTATTTTTTTTGTTGTGTGTTGTTTTGGTTTGGTTTTTTGTCCTGCGTGTTTTAAGATAAATATTAACAGCATCTCCTTCCTCTACCCGCTAGATGCTCAGTCAGGAGCATCAAAAAGTCCCAGACGTTACCAAATGTCCCTTGGGTCCCCTGGCTGAGAGTCACTGTGCTGACTTAAGGGGCTGTCAGTACTCTGGCCTGGGCCCACTTCATCTCAGCGGTGCCTGTCCTTATGCATATACCCTTGTCCATGGATCCTCTGACCTCTCTCTGCCCGAAAGTGGCACCTGGAGTGAAAATGGGAAGCAAGTTTCTTTCTCTCTCCCCACCCCTTGCCCCAGGGGAATCCCCCTGACAGGAATTTACATAATTGGTTAAAAGAATACAAAGGTATGCAAGACTCTGCTTAATTGTGACTGTTGTGAATCAAGAAAAGACCTTAAGCCCCTTTCCTACCTTGAGGGTGAACTGGGAGGGATCATTGAAGGCATACCAAAGAAATCTGTGTTTTCTGCATAGTTTCCCTCCTTTCATCCCTCCACCCCCCTCCCAGTCCTCACTAGTTCTCTGTAGTGCCCATATTTAGAAACCAAAAGCCTGTGCTGTCATAGAAAGACAGAAACCAGATGGTTGCTATGGAGATTTGTTTAAACACACACACCCTAGCCTAGAGCATGGCTCAGGCTGAGTGGTAGGGGTGAAGAACAGTTCCTGCCTGGGACGTGCGTTTTTCTTAATTTCCTATTACCTTACCTCTTCTATCCTCCCACATTTTCTTCTCATTTCTGCTACCAGATGCCACTTCCCACTACACCCTCACCCAAGGATATTTTTCCATTGATTTTTAGGGAGTGGAATAGAGAAGGAAAGACAGAGAAAAACATCAATATCATCAAGCCCCGACCAGGGCCCAGACTGGGGAGAAGCCTGCAACCTAGATTCGTGCCCTTGACGGGTATTGAGCCCTGGGACCCTTTGGTCCGCAGGTTCTATCCACTGAGCCAAACCGGGAAGGGCACCACTGTTGTTCTTAAACAGCTCCTTTGCCTCAGGAAGTCACAATTTAAGACTAGAATTACTTAATGCTTTTTAACCCATTCACCTGTAATAGGAGGATAATTATAATACAAACATGATATGGCTTTGTTAGGATTAAATATCGGTAAAGAAACTTGTATCATGGCTGGCAAAGTAGATGCTCAATAAATGGAATTTGTTCTTATGCTAAAATGAAATCCTGCCCTGGGCACCTTTGGAAATCCTGGCTTGTGCTTTCTCTGAAAGTAGGAAAACGCTATTGTGGGAGTGGCCCTTGTCTTGGGGAGTAACAGAAGAGCAGAATTGTGGGGGGAGGAAGGTTTTGTTTTTTGTCTTTGTTGTATTCAGCTGGAAAGCTGTTTTGGAAGGAAAAAAATCTGGGCGTATGATCTCCTTTTCTGCAATCTGAAATGAAAAGCATAGGAAGGAAAGACAAGACAAAACCACCCTTACCCAGCTGAAAGGAAAGCAGAAAGGAGGCCGAATGCTGTCTGGGCCTTTGACTGTATCTGTGGAACAGGCTAGGGCTTGTTCCTACTATAGATTCTGTGCATGGTGTCTGTTGAATTTTTGGGGGGTGTCCCTAAAAACATGGTATTTTCTAATACTAGGTAATAGGACAGGTAGTTCCACCCCTGGAAATAGGTAAGATTTCTCTTCACCCGCTTGAATTTACTATAGAGCGATGTTCCTGCAGGAGGTCTTAACTCCTTCCAATGCACTGAGGAAATGGAAGAAAACATGCCCCGTGCATTTTCACTTCTGTTCTATTTCACAGAATAGATGTTACTAGCCTACTTTTTGTTGTTGTTCATCCTCACCCGTGGATATTTTTTCCATTGATTTTTAGAGAGTGGAAGGGAGTGGAGAAAGGCAGAGAGAGAAACATTGATGTGAGAAAACACATGGATTGGTTGCCTTCCCCCACGGGGGGTGGAGTCTGCAACCAAGGTACCTGCCCTTGACGGAAATGGAACCCGCGACCCTTCGGTGCTTGGGCCAGTGCTCTAACCACTGAGCAACCAGCTCAGGCTATGTTATTTTTTTACAGGTAAAAAACATTTCATTGTAAAATGGATGGAGATAAAATTATGTTGGGCGCCACTTTCTGTTGCCGGTGGATGTGGGGTTCTTGCAGTGTCGCAAGGAAAAGCATTTCCAAAGACCCAGAGGAGAGGAGGATTTATTTGGGAGGCAAAATGAAGGGAGTTCCTCAATGTCCCATCTCAGTCCATAGCATCATGGAAAATCAGGGTCTAAATAGAGTCAATGACCAGAGGTTCTTTGTCATGTTAAAGATTAGTTCCGGTCCGCCTTTGGCAGGTTAGCAGGAGTGGAAGGTGCCGCGCTGTGGCTTGTGGTAAGACTGCTCCATCTTAGCTTTACTCTGCTCTCCCCGCCCCTCTGCCCCCCCTGCCCGTTTCTGCAGTCTCTCTTCTCTCTGCTTCCACCCCCCGCGACTCGTGCTGCGGCTTGGAAACCCCTTGGCCTGAGCGCAAATCGGCCCCAGTGCTGTAGGTCCCTGCAGGGCAGTGGGCAAGTGGGTGCCAGGGAAAGCAGAACGCAGGGAGCGGTGCGCACCCGCCGTTGCCTTGGAAGGTGCCCCTCCCGCGGGAAGCTGGGGCCCATTCCTTTACCCGCTCGCAGCTCTGCGCGCCCAGCACAGATAACGGGGTACCCTCTCAGCTGCGGTGCCAGCCGAGCTGCGTGTAGCCTAGGCACACAGGTCCCATCCCCCTTTCGCTCCTCCCGCCTCCACCCCAGTTTGCTCTGTCCGAGGAGCAGCCAGCGATCACACACTGCCAACCCGGGGCCTTAGGGCATAGCTTGCAAGCCCGCGGCTGGCCCCTTCCACCTCCGCATCCCTGCGGCTGCGTGAGCCACTGTCTCTGGACCTGGCCTCCACCTCCGGCCTCCCGGCGCCTTCATCCTGACGGTGCCTCTGCCTACGGGCGCCAGCGGGGAGGAGCTAAAGTGTCGCTCTCGGCACGCGGTGCAGCCCGGGCGCAGGGAAAGCCACCAGCTGGAGCTGCACCGCTGGGACTCGGGCTTCCGCCTGCCCGTGGCAACCGCTCCTTGCCAAGGTGGTGGAGAGAGCCACCAGCAGAGCAGCTGCTCATCAAGTCCCGACCCCTAGCAACCAGGTGAGGGTGCGGGGGAGGAGATGGTGTCACTAGGGCAGCGGGAGCCCAATCGGTAGTCACACACTGACTGTTGATAAGGCTCCACACCTGGATAATTGTACAGTGGAACCTCAGTTCTAGAACTTAATTCATTCCAGAAGGCTGTTCCAGAGGGGTTTGTTCGAAAACCACATCATTTTCTTCCATTAGAAATAATGTAAATTGAATTAATGCATTCTAGACACACACACAGCCCAAAGCAAAAACATAAAACAACCACAAAAATATTCACAGTACAATTTCCTGAGACGTTAACCACGAAAGGTTTAGCAGTAAACTGACATACTTGCAATTTGAAATGAAAGGCACTAAAAATGTAGTCAGTGTTTATTCCTTCCTGTACATCAGAGAGTTTATACTGGATAGAAATCTTGCAAACATTCTCTCCTTTGTTTGCCCCCTCTTAAAAATTCTCTTTAGCCAGCTGGTTTGGTTCAGTGGATAGAGCATTGGCCTGCAGACTGAAGGGTCCCAGATGAAATTCCAAACAAGGGGTTGCAGCCTTGATCCCCAGTAGGGGGTTGCAGAAGGGAGCCAATCAATAATTCTTTCTCATCATTGATATTTCTATCTCTCCCTCTCCCTTCCTCTCTAAAATCAATAAAAATATATTTTAAAAATTTTCTCTTTTAAAAAAATTAATAACCCTCGCCAAGTGGCCAGTTGGTTGGAGCATCATCCTGTACACCAAAAAGGTTGGGGGTTTGATTTCTAGTCAGGGCACATATCGGGGTTGTGAGTTCGATTCCTGGTCGGGGCACATGTGGGGGGTCAGCAGAGCAACTGATCAATATTTCTCTCTCTCACCCCATTCCTCTCTCTCTAAAAAAAGTAAAAAAACATATCCTTGGGTGAGGATTAAAAAAATATTAAACCGCCGAAACCGGTTTGGCTCGGTGGATAGAGCGTCGGCCTGCGGACTGAAAGGTCCCAGGTTCGATTCCGGTCAAGGGCATGTACATCGATGTTTCTAACTATCTCTCTCATTTCCTCTCTGTAAAAACTCAATAAAATATGTTAAAAAAATATTAAACCAATTGCAGGTTAATATAAATGACATTTTTTAAAAATAGTGAGAAAAGTATCGTTTTACACTTTATAAATCTCTTAAAACTTGTTTTAATTAAAAGTAACTTGAGCCCTGACCAGTGTGGCTCAGTTGGTTGGGTGGCGTCCCGGGCACTGAGAAGTTGCTGGTTCTGTCAGCAGTCGACAAGAGGGTCTCTGGCCGGAGACAATTCTTGTCTTGCTTGTAGGGATAAATTCAAACGAGACAACAAATAACAGCAAAAGCAGGCAAGGATTTATTTGTAGGAAAGCAAGACACTCAAAGAGGACCTGAGTGGGCAGGTCAGCTGGATGAAACCAAACCGAGTGCCCTGAGTGGGCAGGTCAGCTATCAGAGACCGAACCGATGCCCCTCTTGGTTAGGATTTGGGATATTTGTACCCCTAGACTGGAGTAGGTCTCAATAAGTTGCCCCCTCCCATGTTTCTTAAAAAAAATAGTTATAAGGCTGCTTCATCGAGGTGTTATTCACTGGTTAGACCACATCCTAGAGGGCTCTGAATCTTTCCTGCTCACGTAGGGGCCTCCCCCTCCACTGCCTATTTGCAGTTTACCACAGCTCACACTTACTTCTTCCAAGCCTCAGCTGCCTCTGCCAGCTTATGTCTTTCTATTTGCTTACTCAGTTTGATTCCCCATCAGGACAGGAGGCAGCCAATCAATGTTTCACTCTCGCATCAATGTTTCTCCCTCTCTCTCTCTCCCTTTTCCTCTAAAAATCAATAAAAATATATTTAAAAAAAATAAAAATAGCTTGATTTTCTTATATGTTTATGCATTTTAATCTGTTTCAGCTGAAGTATTTGGAGAAAACCTGTCCTCATACAGATAAATAATTGAAAAAAGGAGGAGAGATATTTTAATACCCTTTTCAAATCATGTTGGATATTCTCCTTTGATTGTACACCAAACCATGATAAGTGGTAGTTTCTTCAAGGATAATTATAATGTATTTGAAACCATATCAGTGAACTTTTTTGTATTACAATAAAACTCATTGGTCTATTTTGCAATTTGAATGGATCTTCTACCCAAGCGTGATCATGCATTGGTCACTTTGAAAATATTGGTTCATTCAGTAATGCAGATATTCCAAATGTTGATATATTTCATTATCTAATATAAAAAATAATAACATTCATTCAAATCACAACCAATCCCATCAGCAAAATCTTTAAGTGTTGGGAAACTGCCAAGTTCACTGTATAGATACAGGTTTTCCAAAAGTATAATTTTCACTTGAATTCTCAAATTTTATCATTGGCAACAAATATTATAAGTTGTTTTCCTTTAAGTCACAGGCTCACTTTGTTCATTTTTTTTAAAAAATGTGTTTTGATTTTTAGAGAAAGAAGGACAGGGAGAGGGAGAGAGAAAGAGAAACATGATGTGAGAGGGTACCACTGATCAGCTGCTTTCTGCACGTTCCCCCCCCCCCCCCCACC